AAAAAAAAAAAAAAAAAAAAAAAAAAAAAAAAAAAAAAAAAATTGTTGCGAAATCTAAAGAACTGAAAACCGGGTGGTCTAATTCAGATAAATCTGTCAGAATGTTCTAAGGAAGGGCATGGCTCAAAAAGGGCTGCTTTGCCAATGATGCTGGTGATTGCAATGTAAAGATATTTTTAAATAAATCAGAAGTTATGCCAAAGAGAACGAAGTACTTGACCTCCTTTGTCGTGGATTTTTACCTCGCTGGAAATTCCTGATTCTAGCGATTTTCTGGTTCTTCCTCAGACAGAACCCGCTCCCTGATTAGTCCCGCTATATATTACCACATGCATGTGCCGTGCCCTGCCCTGCCCTACTGGACTCCATTCCACTGCCTTAAGCGCTAAGCTGATTGCTTTTCCTGCCTCAAACTTCTCTCTAATTATCTCCCTCCGGACTTTATCCTGAAGCCTTCTCCTTGCACATCTCCCATTTTCATACTAATAATGTACAGTGAAACTTCTCTACAAGACCACCCCTTCAAAAGACAATATATTTATAGCCCAGATAGTGCTTTTCCGATCATAGTGGCCACGCGCGCGGTCTAAGGCATGAACTGTCTTCGCTAGAATACTGGGATCGTAGGTTCGAATCTCATTCAAGGCATGGATACCTATGTGTGTTCATTCTGTGTGTAGGTAGCAGCCTTGTAACGGGCTGATCCCCTCTCCATGGAGTCCTACCAACTGTGTAATAAAGATTAGGAAATTGAATAAGAGGCCATGGCCCAGCAAAGTGCTGTAGAGCCATAATAATTCAATTAACTTCTTTATTATGTAAGTTTTGAGGTTTTCACGGCGATGACTATGAAGAAAGTCGTCTTCTGGGTTTAGGTGCCGTGTATTCTTCGTTTTGGCCGACGTTTCGGAGGAACGTATCGCCTCCATCTTCAGAGCAGGTGAATGGCTTGGAATGCAGAGAGCAGTAGCTACTCTCTGCATTCCAAGTCATTCACCTGCTCTGAAGATGGAGGCGATACGTTCCTCCGAAACGTCGGCCAAAACGAAGAATACACGGCACCTAAACCCAGAAGACGACTTTCTTCAACTTCTTTATTGTTTATGTGCCGAGCCGACAGCTACAAGGTCAGTTACAAAGACAGCACAGTGTAGGTACAGGTAAGTATATTATTGAGAAACGTAACATAAAATCAAAAGGTCTAATTAAAGCCCTTTTCGAGCCATAGTTTCCCTTAGAAGCTTCTGTCAATTTTTTACCCTGTTTTAACATATTTAGATTAGGCAACAATAATGTTTTTACGTATCAAGGTAGTAATCCTTGCTTCCAACCCCGAGACTTGTAGGACCTGGTCCCTATATTTAAGTCTTCTTGAGACGGGGTGTGGCCCAGTTATACCCCCAGGTACCGGGTTCCTTGTTCGTTGCCTCCTACGACTCGCAGTGCTACGGTGGAGGTATTCTAACCTGTCTCCATTTGAGGGGATATTAAGTGTAATAATTTCGTGCAGTACAGTTCTTATGTAATACATATATATGTTTCCTGCACTATACTACCAAAATTCTCACCCATCTCCCCTCATTCAGACACAACCACTGTAAAAGACCACTTACGGACGGAACGTTTTGTGGTTTTCTTGGAGATGTTTCACTGTACAACTTTATTCATAGCATCAAAACATCTTTGTAAGACTCTCACATGTTTTCCCTGTATATATGTAATCTTTCAGCATAATGGGCACACACATGTGTATGTCAGTCAGTGTGTAACTGCGTGCTGCACTTCTCTGTCGCAGGGAAGCCCATGAACTGCAAAAGCCGGCCGTTCCCAACACTGCGTCCGTCCGGTTCCATCGATACATTCAGGCGGCCAGGGACGGCCAGGATCAGAGGGACTGCCTGAAGCTGTACCCAGCTTGTACAGTTAGGACGGAATGAACCTGGTCAAGCCATGACCCGGATCAGAAAGAAAACTATTTTGCTCAAAGAACCGGTTTATTTATATAAATAAACTTAATTAATATACAGGGTGGGCAGTTTATCGCCTAACCGTCTGTCAGCATTCCATAGATAATGATTATGCCGTTAGGTGGCCTTCCTATCAAATACAACACACCTTGTACAATCAAAATATTATGAAGAGGACATCTCCAAAAGCACAATTATATATCTGAAAATAATCATATTTAATATATTATCTGTTATTGTACAAGAAAATTTGAATCTCTACCGATTGTTGTACATCTAATTACAAATATTGAATTCAATATTTTCACAGCGGGGACTATGAAGAGTTAACATCTTCTATGATATAATACCGTGTACTCCAGTGAGAATCGACCCACGTTTCGGAGGAACATATTGCTTCCGTTTTAGCAATCAGACAGTAAGCAGACTTGTAACATCTGTTTGCTTTATAGCTGGTTCCTGGTCTGGTTTACTCTTCAACCCTGAAGAAATATCGGTTGAATTTCGCCAGACTACACGGCATTATATCCCAAACGAGGGACATCGTCCTCCGTTACAGAACTGAAGGTTGTGCCGGTTGTCGGTTCACTGCAATGTTTGAAATTTCCTATCCGAAGTTAAATGTAAGCCATGCGGCTGGATCTTCTTTCTCGAATTGAGTGGTTGTCCTGTATACACTCCGATTTATTTATTGGACTCTAATCATTAGTGACAGCCGTTGGCAGCCGCCATTTGTACACTAACACTACATGCTAACCGCTCTAACGAATGTACTAAATACAAAAAATCGAAACGTATTCCCTCTCCATTTTAAGTGTTTTTTTTTTTTCGATCATGATCAAACATATCGCGCGTTTATCATTCTGCTTGTATTCTCGTATTAAATTCATTCATCTATTGGAATGAGACGGGGGCACTCGGTAGCGTAGTTGCTTGAGGCACTATGCTACAAGCCGGAAGGTCGCGGGTTCCTTCCCCAAAGAGGTCATTGGGATTTTCAATTGACCTAATCCTTCCAGCCGCACTATGGCCCTGGGGTTCACTCAGCCTCTAACAGAAATGAGTACCAGGAATATTCCTGAGGATAAACCTTAGCGCCATCTGTGAGCCGATTTTCTAGAAACTGGAGGAGCCTTAACGTCTCACAACCCTATGGGCCTAGATGGCCTTATTTTACCTGGGTGAGACTGAGTCTCTTGGTAATGGGGTACCAAACTGTTCCACTCTGCTACACCAGGATTATAGATAAATATGGAGCAATGATGTACTAATAAATGTTAAGGGAATATCAGAGCACTAGAAGGAAAACCTGCTCTAGTGTCACTTTGTCCATCAAAAACTTCCCTAGGATCCCTTGTGGGCCACTGTGGCGAGAAGCTGGCGACTAGCCTCAGATATACCACATCACCAAAGCCCCCATTTATCATCCAGTACAATGGGGCCACTTTACAGCAGCAGTACTAAATGACCCAGACTCACTCCACCCCAACATTGAAAGAAATGGAACAGATCATTTCGCGTTACCTCTGACCCAGTATTTGACTGTGTTTCAAACGAAGAAGTTACCTTTAACAATGGATTATGTGCAACACATAGAATTATTTGTAATTTTCTAGAAGTTGTAAACATATCTAGAATACATTATTTGAGAATATGGTAATTACGTGGGAAGTGTATTTTGGTAATGGATGATAATTCTGTTAATTGTACGTGTTTTCCAACTGTTTGTGCGATGAATGAAGAACGTTCTTGGCCTTCAGTCAAGGTACTGACGTTTCTTAGTTGAGAATTTTATATTTATTTATATTTATTGTAATTTATTTGAATCAAACTTAGATGTCCTATTTATTTATAAAACAAATAAATGATTTAAAACCGTATATTTTGGCACAAGTGCACTGTAATTTACGTGTTTTTGGTTCTCCTCGTGTGAACTTTCAAATATACACCCCCCCCTTCTCCCCCTCCCCCCGGGGGCTGATCAACGAGGAAAGTCGAAGAAACAAGTCTTAGAGAGAAAAATAAATCTTTCGATTTCCCTTTAATGTCGTAATTCTGTCACGGGTTTTCGCCCAGTGTAAACAAGTCACTTTAACACCTGTCACATGATATAGACATTGATCGATCGGGAAATCCCGGAAGTTTCTACGTGACATACACGTATTTCACTGTTTTCTGAGTCTCGAAAATTTGTGATAATTCGAGTCCTCATGTGTACACGACACTTGCTGTTGGTAATCCTGGTATGTACTTATATATATGATGTCCAGGTTGACCAACCAGGAAATCTAAAAATTCTCGACGAGAGACAGATTTATAGGAATTTTGCTTCAGGATAACTTCCTATACAAATTAGACACTTAAAAGGCGAATTGTTAAGGTGTTTCCGAGAAAGGAACCAGGAATAACTGAGAAAAAAAGAAAAATCTGAGAACGAGAGACAGTGTTCTCTCAATCTGGGCTTTGGGCATGGGTTACTCATGCAAATAAGGCGCATATAATGAATTCTGTTGATCAGTCCGGAGTATCAGAAAATTTTTCTCCTAGTGGGAAAAAAAGTGTTTTAGTGCTTCATCAGTTTGGGGTTCTGGAGATCTGTCTAAGAAAGCGAGACATGTTTATGTGGGTTGAAGTCGACACAGTATTTTCGTGAACAGAATGAACATTAATATTCAGTTTTCCATTATAACAAGTCACTTTGTAACTCTTATTATGTCAGCTTTATTACATATTGCCTGTATAAAGAAATGTCACCTTTGTATATACATTGTTTAAATGTGGCAATGATTATGTACACTGACAGTTGCTAATGGGCCTTGGCTATGACGTGGATTGTGAGCCAACGGACCATCTCCCTCCAGAGGCAGAGGGCGTCGTAGTTTATCATATCCTCCGTCCTGCTAGGACACCGGTACTGGAAAACAGCGCATGTCCTTGTTCTGCTGGAAAAATGAGAGTCTGGATCACGAGAGGGAAACAGACAGGGATACAGAGGTAAGCACTAATTCTGAACTCTAACTTTAATAATATTATAGAAGAAAGTCATGTGTAGCTAATCCTATTACAAATCACAGTTCGTTAGAGTTTCGAAACTGGAGGGAGAAGGGCGGATGGTGAGAGGGATTAATCCCCTCTTGGGGAGGTAGAGGTGGGTTCTTCCCAGGGGAAAATAATATTTAAAATAACAATGCGTATTAAGCCGTTTTAAGCATAAAATTACATTTGAAGTGGAACACTCAAGATTAATTTATGAATTATGGCCAACAATAAGCTAAGACGTAAAGTACATGTATATAACTAAATCTAAGAAGCTGAGATGGCGCAGTCGGTATAGCGACTGGCTACAGGCTGAATGACCGATGGATCGGAGTTCGAGTCCCGGTAGGGTCAAAATTTTCTCCATATCGTCCAGACCGGCTCTGGGGCTCAACCAGTCTCCTATCCAAAGGGTACCGGGGGTTCTTTTCCCGAGAGTAAAGCGGCAGGGGAGTGAAGCTGACCACTCACCTCCAACTAGTGCCGAGGTCAAGAAAATATGGATTTATACACCCACTCCTCCCTACACCTTCATGGTGTATGCTTAATTAGTTAAGTACAAGGACAAATTTATCTTCTAACTAAATCTCGCAGGAATGGTCTCCTAATCCAAGGACAATTTAGTGTTTCGTCGCACGAACTATGGGAAGTACTGTCATATGTAGGATCTGACGTTCTCACACAGGTGGGAAATAACTCTGTGTGGCCCGTTGAAAATCAACTGATATTTAGGAGGAACATGTTGCCTCCATCTTCAGGATCAAAGATTAAACCAACATAAAGCAGTTACCAAGCAGACATCTTGCTTGACTTAACCGTCTACCCTAAATATGGAGACGATATTTTCCTCCGAAACGTTGTTTGACTTTCAATGAACTACACGACGTTATAATTCAGAAGGCAGAAATATTATTTTAATTGAATTATTTACTGGCATTTTAAATTGGTAATTATTAAGTTACAAGCCGGTCACGGTAGCCGAGCGGTCTAAGGCATGCACTGTCTTCGCTCGCTCTGAAGACGGGATCG